ATTCATTATACAGTGGTACCTCGGGTTAAGTACTTCATTCGTTCTGGAGGTCCGTTCTTAATCTGAAACTGTTCTTAACCTGAAGGACCAGTTTAGCTAATGGGGCCTCCTGCTGCTGCTGCTGCCGCGCTGCAGGAGCACAATTTCTGTTCTCATCCTGAAGCAAAGTTCTTAACCCGAGGTACTATTTCTGGGTTAGCGGAGTCTGTAACCTGAAGCGTATGTAACCTGAAGCTTATGTAACCCGAGGTACCACTGTACAGTGGTACCTGGGGTTAAGAACTTAATTCGTTCTGGAGGTCTGTTCTTAACCTGAGGTACCACTTTAGCTAATGGGGCCTCCCGCCGCTGCCGCCCCACCAGAGCACAATTTCTGTTCTCATCCTGAAGTAAAGTTCTTAACCCGAGGTACTATTTCTGGGTTAGCAGAGTCTGTAACCTGAAGCGTCTGTAACCCGAGGTACCACTGTATTAGATGGTTGTAACAACAAATAAAATCAAGCAATTGAATATATTAGATTTCTACAACAGCTGAGCCAATACCCTCTAATCTTCAAGGGGTCTCCTTTTTTGTAAGGCTGCTAGTTCCTGCCCTTCTGTCTTTGCAGAAAGCATCAAAGTAGCAGGGAGAAGAGGGCATTTGAATGTTTTCAGGTCCTTGGCACATGGAACGGGTAGCCTTTTTACCTATTCAGCCATCAGGATATATTAGTGACACTCTGTGCCCAGCTACTACCTATGAGAGCCAGTGTGGTGTAGTGGTTAAGAGCGGTAGTCTCATAATCTGGGGAACCGGGTTCGTGTCTCCGCTCCTCCACATGCAGCTGCTGGGTGACCTTGGGCTAGTCACACTTCTCTGAAGTCTCTCAGCCTCACTCACCTCACATAGTGTTTGATGTGGGGGAGGAAGGGAAAGGAGAATGTTAGCAGCTTTGAGACTCCTTCGGGTTGTGATAAAGCGGGATATCAAATCCAAACTCCTCCTCCTCCTCCTCCTCCTCCTCCTCCTCCTCCTCCTCCTCTTCTTCTTCTTCTTCACATAGACACACTGAGGGCAGAAAAAGGACTCGGTGACATGCCGTTCCTTGTTTGAGGCAGCCAAGAGGCACTCCCACAGTGCAAAACTCTGGACCCAAAACCATAGGTAGGGTCCAAATTACAGGAACACGGTGCCTCCCATCCTACAGAGGCAGTTCAGAAGGATATCATGGTCAATGGTATCAAAAGCCCCCAAGAGATCAAGAGGTAACAAGGTCACATCTCACCTGCCCCTCTCTCAATAAAGCACATCCATTCAGGCGACCATTTTGTTCCCAGACTGGACTTGAACACAGGAACTGGGTTTGTTGCAACATAAATCGTCTGATATATTTGCACTTGAATTACTTATCAGCACACCACTGGGCAGTAAAACCGACAATAATAAAAGTCATTAATACTAGCAGAAATAACAGCTGACATTTCTGGTCAGAGTACTGCCGCACTGTTTTTATTTTTTAAGCGATCCGTATTCCAGCAAAACAAGAGGATTAGGAACATCAGATGTGGAAACAGCTTTTCCTGAGAAGAAGTAACAACAACAAAAGTTATCTGTTAACTCGTCACATATTAAATACAATGTCCCAAAGCAAGTTACAATTGCAAAAACAAAGAGGAAACAACAAAAGTTTAAAGCAACATCGAAAGAATAAAGCAACATCACTCACTAAAAGTGCTCATCATATAATAATATAATATAATATAATATAATATAATATAATATAATATAAATAGGCAAGTCATAGAATCATATAATTTTAGAGCTGGAAGAGAACCAAGGGACATCTAGTCCAACCGCCTGCAATGCAGGAATCTCAGCTAAAGCATCTATGACTGATGTCCATCCCCTAAAAGTCTTGCCCCAACCCACTAAAAGATGACCATCACAACAAGCTAGGGTATCATCACACCATATGATCCCTATTAAAAAGCCAAATGCCTGGGCAAACAATCCGGTTTACATCTTCTTTGGGCACCTTAAAATTTGCAGAGATGGGGACTTTTTATCCTCTCCAATCCACAGAAGTGAATTTCACTCATTTTAGTGAAAGGTAAAGGCACCCCTGACCGTTAGGTCCAGTCGTGAACAACTCTGGGGTTGCGGCACTCATCTCGCTCTATAGGCCGAGGGAGCCGGCACTTGTATGCAGACAGCTTCCGGGTCATGTGGCCAGCATGACTAAGCCACTTCTGGCAAACCAGAGCTGTACCTATTTCTCTACTTGCACTTTGACATGCTTTTGAACTGCTAGGTTGGCACCTTCTGATCGGCAAGCCCTAGCCTCTGTGGTTTAACTCACAGCACCACCTGCGTTACATCCCAGTTATTTCCAGCCTACTCTCTCCTTGCAACCAGTTATTTCCAGCCTACTCTCTCCTTGCAACCGTACAACCTCCAAATGAGAGGGGGTTTCTTTCCTTCTCCAGGGCAACAGAGATAGCCTAAAGATAACAAAACTCCCGAATTTTATCTGAAGGGTTAAGCAAAGGCAAACAGCTAAACAATGTAACACTCACCTTTTTGTGGGGGGTGGGCTTCTCCCCTCTGCCCCCCTGAGGTAATTCCTACCTTTAGCTTAGTCAATAGAGATAATCATTTTCAGCCGATTAACCCAATTAAAATATGTGTGCATCACAATAGCCATTAGCAGCTCTTGCTCTCCCTAGCAATCCTGTTTACAGAAAACAGTTTCTGCTAATCTGGACCTGACTGCTTGGGATGCAGAGGGGACAGTCTGAAGTCAGTTGTCAGCTTGTGCTGTACTGCCCTCTCTGACCTCCTCTACAGAGAAGGAAATTGCACCCTGGCTGAGTTCAGGGCAGGGAGAGTTTGCTGGGGAAGGTTTTTTTGTGGAGTGAGGAACATAAGCTTTGTAAAACTCCAACAGGAGTATTGCAAAATGTAAATTTTGTTGTTGTTGTTGTTTTAAAAAAAACGTTCAATCTCAGTGATCAATTAACAACAACAACAACAACAACAACAACAACAACAATAATGCAGTGCTCTATGAGGCTGTTTAAAGTGGTCCTAGGTAAAAAAAAACAGGGGGGCCAACTGTTCTGCCTCCCTCCCCAAGTGTTACTAACTAAGGTATCTACATCCAAGCAGGCAATCTTGAATTAGTACTGAATATATGAACAGCTGCATGGTTAGAAATAGCTTTTCTTTGGAAGAATTCTCGAGTGCTGTCAAAAAGTAAATTATTATTAAAATGTGGAAGAATTCCAAAATTATCAACTTAACATATTTGGCAACAGGGTGGGATGGCAGGATGCCTTGCATATGAAGTAGGGGCTCTTTGATAACTATTGGAATCAGTTCACTAGATACCAAGAAGATATTTCTCTGAGATGTAGTTTTCCTATTCTTTGAGAGGGTTTCCTTCCTGCCCTCCTCCTTTTTTGCTCATGTTTATCCTTAAAAATTGGGGGGGGGGGGGGTTTAAAGGATTTGGCTTTTATTTTTTTTAATTTTTTCTAAATATTAATACAACTGCATATATAGGCTGTACATTTTTATATTTTTAATCTTAGTGGCAGAACTAATCCTAATAGTTCCATCAGTTGATCTTCCAAGTTCTCCATGCTTTATCCATGTAAATAAATACACTAGTGTCTAAACAATACTCCGGTCTATCCCAACCTCTTAAATTAGGTTTTATGGCATGTTTTATTTATATTTTTGGATTTCAGCTATGCCTTATTTGAACATGTTTCAAAGGGTATGACTAATATTTCCTCTATTGCATATCACTTTGATTTAATGGGAATGTTTCATTGTATATTTTAATTATATGGATGTTTATATTTTAATGTCTGAATAGGACTCTTTAATTGTTTTTTATGGTGTATTTTGAATTATTGTGTATTTTAATAATGTGGTACAATTGGTTTTTATATTCTGTAGATGGCTTTAGAAGCCTATTTTGGTATTAAGCAGTATATAAATAAAGCAATAATACTAATAAATCTGCTCTAAACAATATTATCTAAATTTTTGGGTGGTGCCCAGCTAGGTCATATGCAGAGTAGACTCAATGGAATCAACAAACTCAAGTTACTTAATGACTCACATAACTAATGTTGGCTGTCATCCCCTATATTTAAAAATACAGGCCCTAATCCTGTATTTTATTCTGATTCCCTTGTCCTTGCTGCTGCTAAAGGATGCTGAACTCAGGGTTTGGTCCAAAGCAAGCTCCAGATGTGCTGCTCTGCTCCTCAAACACATCTACTTTAGGGTAAGGTAAAGATAAAGGGACCCCTGACCATTAGGTCCAGTCGTGGCCGACTCTGGGGTTGCGGGGCTCATCTCACTTTATTGGCTGAGGGAGCTGGCGTACAGCTTCTGGGTCATGTGGCCAGCATGACTAAGCCGCTTCTGGCGAACCAGAGCAGCGCATGGAAACGCCGTTTACCTTACTGCCGGAGCAGTACCTATTTATCTACTTGCACTTTGACGTGCTTTCGAACTGCTAGGTGGGCAGGAGCTGGGACCGAGCAACGGGAGCTCACCCTGTTGTGGGGATTCGAACCACCGACCTTCCGATGAGCAAGCCCTAGGCTCTGTGGTTTAACGTAGCCAGATGCAAAAGAAGGCAGGATACCTGTACCCTTAGAAGAGAGAATATCAGCAGATTTTGTTTGTCCTGGTGGCTGCTGAAATGCCCTCTTTTACACCACTATTAAAGGTGTAGGAATTCTGGCCCCTCTTGCACCAGTCCTCCAACATCTACTGTGGCACACCGATGCTTCCTTTCACATTTATACCTAAACTTCCCATGTCATGTTATAACAGTTTTCTCCCAAAACGTATGACAGTTACCATCAATAAAACAAAATGTGGGGACACATGGAGACGGAAAGACCTTGTAATGGATTTGACTGGATCATAGAATCATTGAGCTGGAAGGGACCACGAGAGTCATCTAGTCCAACCCCTTTGCAGTGCAGGAATCATTTGCCCCATGTGGGACTTGAACCCAGGACTTTAAGAGTTTCATGCTCTACCAACTGAGCTGGAAGTCTTTGTCAAGCATACGAATGGTCAAGCAAACCATAGAAAAGTCTGCGATTCTCAAAGTTGGTTCGACTGTTACGTACTTGTTACATTCAGGATAAAAGCGAAGTTGGTTTGTGTGAGGCATATGTTATGTAAAATTTGGATGTTTCCTTTTTAGAGTTCTGATCCTGATTGATGGAGAGTTGCAATATTCTTTATTGTGCGCGTACGAGTGTGTTTTGCAATTACGTTTTCTTTGGTATCAAATAAAGTTAATCTGAAACCATCATCACACATCTTTTGTGTAATATCTGTACATAACTGTTCATGCGCTGCACATATAACTACCTGAGAAACATTGCCCAAATGCTACAGCCAGTCTTAGTTCAGAGCACATATACATATCGCGAAATTGACACATGCACAGTAATGTGATTGTTCTACACAGTGCTATTTTTCTAGAAAAAGAGGTGCTGTAACTCAACATGAACGCCTCTCTCATTCTCTTAGAATGGCAATGGCACCTATCTGAGAGGCGCCAGAACTGAGTTCCGGTGAGTTCCGGGTTAAAAAAAGCCCTGCTTCTTCTACCCATGTTGACTTTCAAACTTTCTCCCTCACACAGAAGTGATTTCTCCGAATGGAATGCTCACCGTTTGAAGCACAGCCTTTCTGTGAACTCACACTAGCTGAAGTCAATAGCAACACTTGTTTAAATGGACTTACTCCAAATTTACAACAGTGTTGCTGACTTCAGTATATAACTCTTGGATTTTTATGGGATTTACTTTATGCCCTGAGCAAATCGGCAGTCTCAGTGGCCTGAAACGTACCCATTCATAATTCACCATTGGCTGAGGCAATTTACATCCAAATTATTTTCCTGCTAATCTGCATTAGAGTGCACGGACATAAAAGCAAAACAGCAAGACAGATGTAATCGTGGAAGAGATCTAGGGTCCTTTGGCTTCACTTATGGGCATGGTAATTTTTCTCCTAGCATATCTTTAATGCTGCTGCTGCTGCAGGTGCTGCTGGGAATGCAATTTGCCTGCTTAAAATAAAGGCATTATTTAAATATGATCCTAGAGGGGAGAAAGGGGGAATTGACATATTAAATGCTTACTATCATGCTAACTAAATCGAGTTGTGATGCAGCAACCAACAGTGCTGTGGCAAACAAAAGGATAGGACGAGTGGGTTGACAATTCTTGAAATAAAAAAATTATGTAGGAGAGGGCACAACACATAAAGAAAAACACTCCATGCACAAGATTTGCAACTATTGCTTATGCTTACAGATCCCCCGGCATGAAGCAGTACTGCTGACACATGATGTCAAGTTCATACAGATCACAAAATGATCCGGACTACCACTGTGGCGCAATCAGAAAACAGCCTACATGTTGAGAAGGTAGCCCCATGAAAGCGAGCTAAAACATATGTATTAAGGAGTTCAGGAATCAAGCTTCTAGAAACTATTGACCCATTTTACAGATGAGGAACACTGAGGCTGGGGCCAGCCACAAGGGGATTTCATGGCAGGGAACTCAAAACACATGTCACCACACCAGACTGTGAAGCAGGCCCCCAACACCTGGCATGATCTGCTTGGCAGATCTGGGGACGTGACAATGGTTCCGCTGCTCCATTGTGATTGCATAGAACCATGGATAGATGATATACATAGATGGAAGCGCATTTGAAATCCAGCAACCAATGACTCAATGACACAGGAGTATGAAAGTGTACTGTGTCTCTCCTCAGGCTGCTCCCCTCCTTTAGCCAATGTGTGATAACACAATGAAGAGGCAAGTCAGTTTGCTAGAAGCCAGAATCTGGATGGATGCTATCTGTCCCTATGCTCCAGCCTAGCGGTCACACAATACAAATGAAATACCGTGAAAATACCTGAAAGGAGAAGTAATCGACTATAAATATTATCTTGTGGAAATCAACTAAATAATAAAAATCAAAAAGCTTAAGGGGAAAAAGTAGAAAAACCTAAAATAGAAAATACCGTGGATGTTAAAGACTGATGCGCTTTGCTTTACCTAGGTCAAGCTAGGATCATAATACTTCAGAATTTTTGGGGTTCTACCCTTGTTTGAATTTTGGTCATTTAAAGTTTATGATTTTTCTATTGCCTTCTGAGGAAACTGATTAGTTCAGTGAAACGAGGTTTGTAGCTGGCATCCCATTAAGGCTTTGTTCTATTTTAGGTTTTTCTAATTTTTTTCACTTAGGCTTTTTGATTTTTATTATTTAGTTGGTTTCCACAAGATAATATTTATAGTCGATTACTTCTCCTTTCAGGGATTTTCAACGGTATTTCATTTGTTTTGTGCAATCTCTCAGTTCCGTGACTCTTTTTTCTATTGATTGCCAGCCTAGGGGGCGGCCATTTTTTTTAGCCGTGGGCCGGTCCACTGTCCCTCAGACCTTGTGGCGGGTCGGAGAAACGGCACTGGGGGGGGAGAGAGAGCTGGAAGAAGAGGCAAGGGGGGCAAGTTGTCCTCCTCCCCATCTCCAGCCCCAGCCACTGCACTTACCATCCCAGGGGCTGCTGCCACCACCACTGCTGCTGCTTCTTGTGAGTAGGCAGAGCGAGCTCGTCCACTCCACTCTCTGGCCCACAGGAGCACCAGGGCGGCGATGGCGGAGGGAAGATGAGCAGCACAAAAGGGCTGGCTCCGGAGAGGGGCTGCTTAAAATGGCGCTCAGCCAGCTCAGCCTAGCCCCCTTCCCCCTCTAGGCAGGGCGAGGAGAAGGCAGGAGGAGGGAGGGAGGAGGCGCTGCCGCGGTGTGTGTGAGGGAGGGGCGGGTGGAATGGCGTGGGGGGGGGAATGACGCAGCCCAAAAGAACAGAAACCCCACGCTGATCCACGGACAGTCCGCGGGCCAGATCCTGAAGGCCATTGTGCCTGATACGGCCCTTGTAATTTAGTTTGCCAAACCCTGCTTAAGCCCCACAGGCTGCCTCCATCCCATCTTTGTGCACCAGCACCCCCACTCCACAGTTTATGTAGATGGAAATCCTCACGAAGGCTGAAATTTACCAGTTTGAGGTCTCCGATGTGTATTAAAATGAAAGGAGGGAAAAGAATCTAGCTGTGTTTCTGATTAGGACGCATATTCACTCTGGCAAATTCCCAGTTGCCTCATTGCCTTGAGCAGCCGAAAGTTTTACACGTTAAGAATATTTATTCCAGTACTGGGGGGGAAACATACATTTCATTTGGTGAAAACATATTAAAGTTCCTTTGACAGAAATCTGGTCTTGGGTTTGGAAGCCCCACTATTGCATTAGACTTGGACACATTTTGCCTTGGCCAAATTAACCTTTCTCAGCCTTAGGTCCCCGTTGTAAAACAGGAGTACCACAATAGTGGCCTACTTTGCAGGGCGGTATAATTGTAGAATATATATATATATATATATATATATATATATATATATATATATAAAATTAAGGATGGTAAAGTGCTTCAGAAATTAAGAATGCTATATAATTGAATTCAACAGCCAACTTCGAGCTGCAATGTTCTAGCTCTTGTTTCAGTATTTTAAATAAGTTTCCATTCCATATACTGATCTATATTCAATAATATAATTGGAAAGGGCTGGCTTCCCTTTCCTAACACATTGTCACTGTTACATTTCACACACAAACTTCAGGGGGAAGCTCTTTTTCCCTAGAGGTGAGCTGAAATTTCTCAGAAATATTTATTTACCGAGAACTTCTGAGAGTCTTCTTTTTTGTTTCCTCATGCAAGAAAGAGGCCATGTTGCATGATTCCCCCTGGATTGTCTCCACTGTTATATGTGGCCAACTCTTAGGGGCTGAGGTCCCTTCGGACCCCCAAATAAAATATTTGAGGAGTCCAACGCACTCCCCAGTTGATGGGCATAATGTGATCAATTATGCAGGGAAGGGCTTACCTCCCCTCCCCCCATTTTATTTAGGTTGGCATCCCTGTGTGGCAGCCACCATTTCCCTCTCCTCTGCCCCACAACAACCCAGAAGAATGCCAGGCACAGAGCACTTGTGGACCATGCAAAATGGCGGCCAGGTTGTCAATGCAATTGCTGCTGCTGCTGTTTTTGCAGCTGCAGGAAACCAACAACAAGTCATCAGAGGGAAAAAGAAAGAAGCTGTATTACTGCCACTGCTAATGTTGAGAAACTTGAAGGATTTCTCTTCTCCCTGAAGAAATTCAGGGAAATGTTTTTCCTCTTCCCTCGTTCTCTGCCTGCAAACAGGATTGAGAGGCCACATTAAACTAGAACATTCATTTGCAACAATTCATACAGCCCCAATATGCTGAAATATGCCCACTCCTCAGTCACTCAGAGAACAGCTTTCAGTGTGCTTGCCTCTGAAATGTTCCTGTTGGGATATGACAGGTGCCCATTAGTAGCACTTTCTAGAAACAAGCAAAGACTTTTTTGTTTCAACAAAGTTTTCCAGGTGGATGAAAAGGTGTTCATTTTGTTTTTAAACTTATCTCAAATATTGTTGTCAAATAGGACAGAAATTACATTGCATTCCAGGAACAGCTGATTTATTAAAAGCCGCTTTCTGCCTTAAATGTTTGATTTATTTTTTTCAAAGACTGAGAATTTAACATCACATTCAGATTCATTGATTTGTATCTGTTCATCATTTGGATCATCACAAAGCAATATTTTAATGAAGAATACTACATATCTGAATAATAAAAGTGACGCAACTTAGTAAAAATTAATGACCCTAATAAAACTATATACAAGATAAACAAATGTACAAATTTGAATTTTCCTGGCAAATCCTAATATAATCTCAAATTACTCCAAGTTATTTGTGAACCTTGAGGTTATAGAGGAGTGCACCTCTCGGCTCCATATGATTGGTAGCTCCCCCTTGGGCCGAAACCCACACATGTGTGCTCACAATTTCCTGCTAGTGCAAATGCAGAAAATATTCAAATGTTCTACTGCTATAACTGCTATGATTACTGCTGCATAACATTATTCGTTGCCAAG